ATACCGAAACGCAGACCTGCTGACCAGCCAAGGCTTCCGCTGCTGCTGCTGCGCACGTTTGCAACCTCCGACACACGAGCAAGAACAACGACTATATTGGCATTCACACAGCCCCACCTTTTTGGATCTTCACCACCATGTCTCAGACTTTTGACGCTTCTTCCAACGCTCTCCTTCAACCTTCAGCCACGATGAACAACGCCGCTGGCCTCATGGCTGAGCACAGCCTCACCCTTCCCGATCGTGTACCCAACATGAACGAAGCCATCATCGTGCAAGCTCTTGAGCAGGTGAGCTTATAGCGTGACCGTGATCCTGACTGACTGTGCGCTGATGCTCTGCGCCACATCCGATCCTTTCCTCCTATAGCTCTACTCTTCAAGCTCAAGGGCAACTTCGTTGGAACCTTTTGCCGAGGAGGTCATTCTCACTCTGCCAAGTGGCGATGTCTGCGTGGGACTCACTGCTTTCCAAGCCAGATTTGGTCGAGCTTCCGATGAGGTGAGCTATGACCATGAAGTCGCGTGACGGGTCCCCAGTGAAGGTGCAAGGGAATTTGAACAGCGCCACCGGCGTCTTCAAGGTTGACAAGGCAGCCCAGAGCTGTCTCCCGTGGGGTGCGGTGGGGTGCGAACACTGCCAGAGCTGAACTGCCAGTTGATCATTTTGTTCGAGCTGACCCTCGTCCCACCTCCCTTCTCCGCCCATCTAGAACCCTCGCCCAGCACATGTGCGCTTGCTGGAGACGCCCGAGTCCCTGCCTGAGGGAACGATGTGCTTGGATGTGGTGCTGCCTGCTCAAGACACGACTTCGCAAGCTGGTGCGATCAGGAATCTGGTCGTTCTGAAGCGCAGGGCTGAGGACGGCAAGATCGTTTCAATGACCGAGGAGGAGGGCCATCGCAGAGTAAGTCACCTTTCAAGGCTTAGCTGGTAACTCGCATGCATCCAGTCGGATGTGGCTCAGCGTCGGCGACTGCCTGATGGTCGATAGCATTGAGGTGCTGACAGCAGAATGGCTTGACTCGCTGCAGGCCACCGCTCCTTTGGCGGCAAGGACTGCCGCTGCTTCCAACTTCTACAGCTGCTCTCCCACCGACAACATGGTGTCTCCTTGCACCAGCAAACTGAATTTGAGCAAGAAGAAGCACTTCATGAAGTGAGTAGCAGAATTAGATATCATTGCAGAGTCTTCACTGAGGATTGATACTGATACTAACTTTTCTCGAAATTCGCTACAGGGGCAAGCCGACCACCTTGTTCCCGGCAGCTGGGGCCAACTCTACCCGTGCGCCATCTAAGCTCAATCGAGTAGCATCAGACGAGAACGCGGAGCCATAAGATCTTCGTGCCTCGGCGAGCAAGCCCTACTCCGCACATGCTTGGTCCGTATTGAGCTCCAGCTCTCACGCGCCAAGTCGCCTTTGCAACCTTCGTATTTCTTCAATTCAACATCGTGTAACAACATCCAATCAGCCCCACACTTCCAGCCAGCGCGCTTCTTCTCTCAGAACCCCCTTTCCATGTTCTCTTTCGAGAACATACACCTTTTGGAGCCAAGAGGTCGCTTATGCCTGTGCGCGGGCCTTATTCTTGATTTCATCGTCGTCTCTTTGGGACTTAATTGATGATGACTTGTCAGACCGATGTTCGAGTCCAAAGCGACAAGACTACAATCGTGAATCTCCAATGCCGCAATACATATCACACTATTCGCATGTTCGCGTGTCTGCGCGCGTGCTCCAGCTATGTACATGCAGGTGATTCACGCGAGCACAGCTAGTACATAGCTATGTTCCAGGCTTGATCCTGATGACACCCAGATGAATGTTTTGAGATCAAATCTGTCTCAAGGGCTACACGTATACAGAGGTGTAGCCCACTGTGACTCATTTATGCTTGCATCATGCACGGCGCCACGATCGACCGCTGGAGCACGATCACCGCCTTGCCTTTGTTGACTCTGACTGCAATGGCTCGGGCGGCTGCTATATAGGCTGTTTGTGAACAACCTATGTATAGCCGCACGGGTCAGTGATGGTGCATGACTTGCGCGCCTGCTGCTGATGATTCAGCTTTCAGCTACATGGGTGATGCCCCATTTACAGTTAACCGCATTTGAAGCAATTCGGGACCATCCAAATCCACGCAAATCGGAAGCTTGGCGGGTGATGCTGCTGCTGCTGGATGGGGCGGATAGGATGTCGCGCGGCATTCATCACCGCCGCGCGCTATATCGTATGAGAGGCCGGTACGGTATAGGCGTACAGAGACCGAGACCCCCGGCGTAAGTAATTAATGCAGACTCTGCTTGCTGCTGCCTGCTGCTTTGCCATATATGCAACGCTCAGCTGATGGTTCTAGCTGCGGGCCAAAGTGGTCCCGGTAAAGGCATTCAAACAGTGTGAGTGCATATACCAGCACAGCGTTCAACAGGACGCTCCGCTCCGTTGGTGGCTTGAGTGTCGCAGCCCTTTGTGCGTCTCCTCGCCCTTTTTCTTTCCCATATGCTGCCCCTCACTGCTCCCACATCACGACCGATTTTGGCACCTTTGCGGAGCTCCTGTTGGCTGCTCGTCACCCTCGGCCCCTGAATCTGTCAGCGCCATGCCCGAACAGCTGACCCACTCCCTTTCTGCGGTGTGCCAAAAGACAGGCAAAGAAATCCCAAGCAAGGAAAAACGCCATCTCTACTCGGCTGCACAGAGACAGCCAGCTACGATCCTCGAATGAGCTTGGATGATCGCAAATGCAGCTCGCGTCGTCGTGACGTGCCACGTCGAGAAAGATCTGCGAGGATGTTGAGCTGCAGCAACGGACCGCCCTTCTTCCGTACAGCAAGCGGCACTCACAACACCCACTCCTCCGAGCGCACAGACCGCCAACGATCTCGCAGCAACTCCCAACATCACGCATCGGACCTTGCCCATGCACACGCATTTGCACGGCACTACCTTGCTCCTTTCGGTCAAGCGCCCCGGCCTCCTAGGTCAGCACCTCCATCCGCGTCTGCATCCACACCATCACTTGCAGAGAACCAACACGCTTCTCAAGATGCAACAGCAGGCGCATTGGTGGCAGCGGCGGCGAAGACGGATGCATCTAGACGACCTGGATCTAAGCTTGCGCACGCTGCAAAGAACGCGATAAGGAGACTATCCAGCTCTTCTTCTTTGAACAATTCTCCCCTTCCCAGTCGCAAAACCAGCGAAGCAAGATCCTTGACGGCAAATTTGCCAGCAGAGTCCAAATCGTCTCCCTGTCTGAGCCACAAGCAAGCATCGAGCGACCGGATTTCTGACGCGTACAGCGATCCAAGCTTCTCCCGTAGAAGTTCGTCCACATCGCTCAGCTCATCGGCACTGGTCACGCTGACCAATGCAGCACGCCCCAAAGGTCAAACCTTTGCGTGGCATCTCGGATCGGATGACGAAGATGCGCTCGAAGAGCTCAATGATGATGGACTGTCGTATCATGATGGCTCTCTACAAAGACCTGCGTCTTCCAGCAGATCTGGATTAGGAATCTCTGAGGCACACAGACCAGTAGGAAGATCGCTCGACACCAGAATGCACGCGGCGGTGGCAAACAATTCTTCGCAGCTACTCTCTGAAGACGCTACGCCCTTTCCACCTCCGTCGGCTACGACAGAGGCAACCCTGCACCTGGCTAGTCTGAGTCCCTATCCTTACCAACTCATCTCTTTGGCCTACTCCTACGCCAGTCATTCTCACAGCTCGACAGATGCGCCTCGTGCTTGTGTGCGAAACTCTTCCTCGGCTCAGTCCCTCCGATCGCTGGCCAATCATCTCTCTGCCGTCTCTCTTTCGGCTTCAGCACCAATTGCATCGCCCACTTCATCACCTACCCCCAGAAAGAAGGCACGAGCGCCCACAAAGGTGTTGGACTTGGGCTGCGGAGCAGGTGTGCTCTCCCTCTTCGCGTCTTCCTGGCCCAACATTCGAGCTCTGATTGCTCGAGATCCAGATGCAGCCGCAATAGACCTAGCGCGAGCTTCTCGAGAGTTGAGCGACGCGCAACGTCGCTTCTTGGGATTCCATCCTTGTAGCACACAGAATATATGCTATAGAGATGCTGACGATGGAAACGGAAGGCGGGGAAAGGGATGTAGACAGGGTGATAATGAGACGGCAAACGTGGTTCTGGGATGGAGCGAGAAAGAGGGCTGTATGCTCGATTGGGACATTTCGTGAGTCGCTTAATGTGATTTCCCTCTGCCTTGGAGGTGCGAGGCTGCATCTCTTCTTACTGGGTTCCCTTCATTGCTGCTGGTTGGACGGTCGCAGCGTGGGCACAGCAGAACGACCTCGTGTGCCGCTGGAGCTTGTTGGCAAGCTCGATGTGATTATGCTCGGATCGAGCGCACATTTGCTGGAATGGGGCGAAAATGTTGAGACGGATGTCGAAGCTCCAAATGAGCGCAAGCCGCCAGATGACGAGCGCACGACCCATGGAGCTCACCTTTACAACATCTGGCATAAGCTGCTCAGACCCGGTGGCTCGCTTCTGATCATGGGTGTCAAAGCCGTACCTGGCTCGCTGCAAGGCCCATCATTGATACCTGCACACTCCAAGGAGCATATTGCGGGCGTCAGGAGCGTTCCGTGCACCCCTCTGTTGAGCCCCCAAGGTGCCTCGCGGTCGACCCAATCACTACGAGAAGCGCTGGATGGTTTGCCTCTTCACCCTTCGCTCTCGCCATTCTTTGGCTCGAGAACGCTTTGGGGTGCTAGGTCCATGTATGCCCAACTACCCCTGCCATGGGACGAAAGTGTTCGTGCTTCAGGTTGGAATAGCGAGTCACTCAGAAGGTGGGTGCTCGATCCCGCTAGAGTTGAGTACAACCCCTCGCTGGAAGCGAATGCGAACTCGTGCTCCTTACCAACGGCGAGCAAAGTCGAGAGTGCGGATCGACTGGATGCCTGGCCATCTTGGGCCTCGACGCCTGAGCCTACACCCTCGCAACTTCGGGAGCAAGCTGAAAAGTGGATCACCCCGCGAGCTTTGGCTGCTTGGGTGAGTGGGTCTTTCTCGTAGCCATCTTCAGCGCGCCCTGCGTGCTCATCTCCTCTCCTCCCGGCCTCTGTCAGTTTCGCAACACAGCTCCATACGCAGCCTACTTGCGCTCCTTGTCCGTGCAGCCTACGCCATTTCTCCCACAGCTTCCCAGCACAACGATCGGCAAGGAGAGTCCCGACAAGGCACAAAGCTCCGAAGACGGAGATGTGGTGGGCCTTGCGTTCAAGGCGGCCTGCGAAGTGGGCGGTATCAGCATGGATGAGCGCATCCCTTTAGTCTTTCCTTCGGTGCTGCTTGCAATGCAGCGAGATTGAAGATTATCAACACACTTCCGATCAGGATCGCAAGTCACGAGCTGCAACATCCCTTCTTCACGATCCCATTGCAACGAGGTCATGCCAACACTTTGACAGCAACCTCCTTTTCCGCACACGGCACGCCAACGCCTGCACTAGGTTCCGTGATCTTTCTTTGAGCCGCTCTTGTACAACATGACCGCCACACAGCTCTGCTTGCAAGGCTTTCTGCGCCCCTCGCCATCGGTTCTCAGCATGTAGCACTACTTTCACCCCATCACTACTACTAATACATCTGCGTGAAATTATTGCAGCAGAGCTTTATTTCTTGCGGATAATAGACAGAGCTGCGCCTTAGTAAGGTGACAATGATTCTTTACCCATTCGAAGAAGTGCCGCGCATCATCCACTTGTCGACAAGGTCCCCAAACTCCATCTCAGTTGGGCCGGCTAAAGTAGAATCTGAAGCTTGACTCTGTGCGGGAGCAAGAGCCGGCTGATGATCGCTCCTAGCAGCAGCTTGCATATTTGATTGAGCAGACACACCGGCTGCAACGCCGGAATGATGCTGCATCGAGAAAGGCGACGAAGGCATGGAAATGTGGCGCTGAGGCATATCAAAAGCAGCGTGCACTTGCACGGAGCTCGTGCCGGTTGTCAAGGGTAGACCTTCGATGGGGTGGCTCTCAAAATTGACCGGCGCTGCAAAGTCAAGCGGTATGATGCCGCTTCCGATGTCCGGTCCGCTCATCGAAGGCCGACGGAGCTCATCCGGCGCTCTTAGACCCAAGTGGTACAGTAGAGCGGATTGATCTGCGCTGCTGCCCGCCGCGTCGAAAAGGTCGGTAAAGCTTTCCGCTTCGCTGCGAGGAGTCTGCGATGCAATTTGCTGATGGTCCACAAGACCTCCGAAAGGGGCTGCTGGACCAAATTGAGACGAGCTCGGTGTAGATGCTTGTGCGGCACCTGCTCCACCAAAATTGCCTAAATACGCATGTTCGTTGTCTGCAAATGTCGCATGCATTGGGACGTTGCCAGCTTCAGTGAGACCTAAGGCGTAAGCAAGCGCATGGGCACCATCTAGAATGCTGTTCATGGACGCAAGATTGTCGAAGGGCACACTGTCCGACTGCCCGGTTTCTGCAAGCGTCGTGCCGCGTTCGTCTGTACTCGCTGCTATGGCTGCTCCGTCACTGGGGACCCGCACCTCCGCTTCGAGTGGGCGCTGCAAGACCGGGCTTGTTGCGCCTTTTTCTGCACCTCTTTTCAAAGTAGGAAGCATGCTAGCAATGCTGGCGAAAGCCGCGTTCCAAGCAGAGGCCCCGCTGTGGGCCACCTTCTCAAGCGCATCCCACTCTTCCGACCCTTTACCGCTGGACGGTGCCAAGAGATGAGCGGCAGACAGCGCAAAGAAAGGCGCCAGCGGCGGCAGTCTGCTATCACCAAAGCATTCGCAGAAGCGGTACAACAGGCGAGGCAGAGCTCCGGTCGACGTTGGACTTTGAATAGTGACTCGCTTCCAGTCGCCTCGACCGCTTGGTCGCCTGTCTAGGTCATCACCAGACGAATCCGACGACTGAATCAGTGGCAACCTCCACAAGTTGGTGAGGCCGCTAACCGCGATATGCTTGACGACAAGCTTGTCTCCCGACGGGGAGGCATTGTACGCCCTTGTGCCGGCGTCCGTAGAGCCCGCCGAAGCCTTGTCAAGGACCGCTGACCAATCTTGTTTCGCGGCAGCAAGCGCCGCGCGCTCGACAAGAGTAAAGCTGTAATGGCAGAGCATCGAAAGATGCCACATATGGCAGGGCTGAGGTTGGAGCGGCCGGTCAGGCCCAGCAAGAGATGCAGCGCCTGGCGTCGCTTGAACCATAATCGCGAGATGCCTTGGCAACATGGTCCGCCAACGATGCAGTCGTGCGGCCCAAGTGTTGATCTTTGCTTCGACTGCAGATTGAGCTGCAGCTGCGGCCGAATTCTTGTCTTCACCGTGCAGAACCTCCGGAAGCTGGATTCCCAATAATATGTCGTTGACGATCACAGCAAGCTCGGTCTGCGCCACGAATGTCGAGAGGGCCCGGCTTTTGACCATTTTCGTCTGTGGTGCTTCTCCAGGAGCTCTAGGCGGAGCTCGGGCCTGGACGAGTGCCCACTCGTCATTCAAATCTACATCAGGAAGAGGTACCGAGCCGTCGATGGCACGAAGCAGAGGCGGACGTCCAAGCGCCGCGGACATGAATGTCTCTATACAAAAGAGCGAATGGTAGGTTAAGCTCCTCTGACGCTGAGTTAGAGCACTTCGGTGCAAAGATGAGCGCTGGGTCGGCGATCTTGCATTCGCGTCACGTTGCTGTCTAAGAGTTTCCCTAGAGCTTGGACTCGCGTTGCTTGATTGCGTAGAAGTCGGACCCGCACGCTCCAATTGTAGGTCCTGAGCCAGCCTCGTTGCGATGCCCAGACCGACCCACGCGCGCGAGTGATGCCCCAGCAGCATGTCGGCTATGGTGATCAGCATCGTAGCCTGAACGGCTTCCAGATCGTGGGGCGCATCTGCACGAGTCCTTCTTGTAGCACGAAAATCATCATCGGCAAATACAACGTCCGCCGAGGTAGCAAAGAACAGCGATCGCGCTCGCGCATGGCAGTCGTCGCCCAAAGCACGCAACTGGTCGCAATCGACTGGTCTAACAGTGATGCTAGGAGATTGTCCAGATGCGTGAGAGCTGCTCCATCCAGAGGAGGTACTGCCGTACCCATAGCACGCCACCGCGCATATCGCCAGCACAAGCGCGGTTCTGCCTGATGGCGGGCATCCTTCAGGTCCTCCGAATGCCGCGCACGGTCCCGCTGGTCCAATGAACAAGCGCTTTCCTCCTTGCCTCATTGCCGCGCTGCTCCACCGTAGTAGCGAATCCTTATCAACAAAGGGATACAAGGGGTGAAAGTGGGTGAAGTACGCATCCAGCAGGTTGTCCATCTCGTCCTCCAGCTCAGCAGGTAGCGCCAGTGCGTTGGCGAGATCTTCAGTGGCAGTGGGACTTTGCTGGCTATGGAGTGGAGGCGCATCTGATCTAGGCGTCGTCAGACTCGCGCCAGGTGCCCATGTAGCATCCCTAGAAATGGGTGCTAGATGCGAAGAGATGCTTGGCAGCTGGCTTGTTGAGCCTTGCCTGACCGATGTCTGCGAGGCACGGGGCCGACCTCGCGTGAAGCGTTCGGCATCCCGTGCAGTGGAGATAGACTCCGCTGACCAAGAGCCCACTGAGCCTTGCGCTGATTCGTCAACATGTCGAGCTTGGCTGAATGGAAAGATGCTGCCGCGCGAGAAGCTTGGAGAGGCGGTTCGAGATCCTGAAGCGTCATGGGACCACTGCATTTGCTGCGTCAGAGACGGTCCTTCGCGGGAAGTAGAAAGTGCAGGGATGGCATTTGGAGTGGGTCGATTGTATGATGAGCTGCCAGACTTCTGAGCTGAAGTCGGATTTGGTCTGACCTGATGCGGCGATGCTAGATTTCGTTGGTGTGCTTTGAGAGGTTGGCTAGCTGACAAGCGCAGGATCGAGTCCCTCGCGGCTGCGGAACGCCGCAGCTCGTCTCGCAGTTCTGCTTCGCTCATCTCCTCCTCTTTGAGAACATTGGAAGCTTCCCCAGTGGCTGGGATGCGTAGGCCCAAAAACGGGGCTACGGATGTAGCAAGATCGCTTTGCCTCCACGTGTCCCTTGCCTGCGATCGACTTTGTTGCGGAAAGAAGGAACCTCGATCACTCTTGGGCGAGGACACCTCTGGGGTATCATTGTCGGGGGGTCTAGACTGCCGACCTGCTGCAGAAGCCGAAAGCGCAATTTTCTCATCGAAGACGAGCCTTTGCACTGCGTCGACTGTCAGGCTCGGAAAAGAATCTAGCAGGAAGCCGAGGATGGACTCGAGAGCCTCGATTTGTTCCTCTAGCCTCTGCCTTACGCCTTGTAAAGGTCCACGTTTCTTTTCCGGTCGCTCGTACGTGCAAGGACGCCCAACCTTTTTGCAGATCAGGCAGACCGGCTGTGCACCGTCACACTTGTCCTTCTTACTGTTCGATCGGCATCAAGGTGGTGGGGTCAGCGATACTGTCCTGACTGTTGCTCCGGTCAGAAGCGGAGCTGGTCGATGGTGGATGGCGTCGAGACGACAGCCGTCCGGAAACATGGCTCTTCAACGTGGCTGCTGAGCGTTCGATGATGCCTGCTGTACGCTAAGGGACATAGAGTGATGACTCACGTATAGCACTGATCGCACGCTCTGCTGACCCTCTTTCGCTTCTGTGATGCGCCCGCGTCGGCTCCTGCGATATCCGAGTCGGCCATGCCCGACTAAGCCCGTGCGCTCGAGCGTTCCAGTGATGCTTTGTGTCGCAGAATGGTCGCGCTGTTCAGAGCTTTGTCGAACAGATTTAGTGATGCGCGTACACTGCCGATGTCTTGGCGAGCCCCAGCGCGGGCAAGTCCGGTTGGCGTAGCGCGAAGAGGGAGCTGAGAAGCGAGTGGGGCACGTGAGGGGGACGAAAGAGCAGTGTTCAGCGACGGCTTCATGAAGATGCGAGTCCAACGCTTTCTGTGAGCGGACCGGACCCTCGCGAGAAGCACCCTCAGTGATGGTGGCGGGAAAATACGGCCCTCGTATCAGTAACCAGTCAACACTCGCAGATTGGTCATTCATCAGTCACAGTGACAACAAACATCACGAGTTCAGAGTATGTGAGGTGAGCGCGTCACAGGCGACACTCACGACCTGCGCGATCCACCCAAAAGACATGTTCCCCATACAAATGCAGCTCTCTCGCACGAGACGTGACTCACGACTTGTCCCTCCACATCAAGTGGATCACAAATCATACCACAAGTTACTATACTACCGGTACTTGAGGTGAGTGTACTGTATTGTAGTGCGACAGTCTGACTGATGTCTGCGGTACTTTTCTTGTTTACTCATTCGGCAAGTCGAGGATCGCGATGAAGCGTATAAAGCTACGGCTTCACTCACACGCTCAATCTCACTAGATTGCACACACTCTCCCTCCATGTCCTGCTGCAAGTCGATACTCTTCGCATCTGCAACAACACCACTCTGCAGACAACTCGTGCCCTTTGTGAATAGCAAACATGCCTCAAGCAGTCATTGTCCACGACGTGCTGGGCACTCTCTTCAGGTATGTGGCTGCCTCATGTACTTCACGACGGCAGGCCCGAGAGACTCCAGCTGATGCTTTGCGGTCTTTGATGGCATCCGAGCAGCCTAGACGAACCGATTTCGGCGCTTCGTCAGGCCTTCTCCGATCAATTGTCTTCGCAGCCAGACATTGTGCCGGAGCTCATCATCATGGATTGGTATCACGCTGCGCAACGTGACTTTCTCAATCTAAGCATCAACAACGCATACATGCCAATCTCCGAAGTTTTCAAGAGCACTCTTCCGAGGATACTGCTTCAAGCTGGCTTGAGACCAACAGATGCGGCAGTGCAGAAAGCAGCAGCAAGCGATGCCGCGAACGCATTGCGTCGAGGCGGGGCTCTGCAGGGTCCAGGACCTAATGGAGATGTCAAAGGCTTTGACGATGAAGTGTCTCAGATCATGTCATCACTGCAACGCTTGACACCCAGACCCGGCATGCTCGAGGCTTGGAAGCGGTACGAGGCCGCACACGCAGAAGTGTGGGGCGCAACAAACGGCGGTCTCGCACTTGCTTACAAACTCTTCGAAGGCGCTCTCGGGCAGGGTTGCATCCAAAAGCAGCAGAAAGACCGAGGCACGGCTTTGTTTTCGTGCGACGAAATCGAAGTGGCTAAGCCGGATGCTAGGGTGTACGAGGCGGTGAGACAGAGAGCGACGCAAGGCAGACAGCCGCAAAGCATCGACCTCTGGTTTGTAGCCACGCATACATGGGTACGTGAGAGGTAGCAGAAGGGCCACCTCGCTCTAGTCGAAGCTCTACTCATCCGATCCGCTTCCTCGCAGGATCTCTTTGCGGCCAAGAAAGCAGGGTGAGACTGCTCTGCTGAATCGCGAGGATACGCACCGCTTGCAAGTCTTGCTCACACGGCCTTGCCCTTCGATGTCAGTTTCAAAACAGCATGGGTTTGGAACGAAGAGTTCCACGCGAGCTCAGCGATTTATGGAGAGCCAGACATCATTGCCTCGAATCTTGACGATGCAGCGAAGCAGATTCTGGAGCGCGCGCTGCGTACCTGAGGTCATGAGTTTGCGGAAGCGAATGACATTTGGCAAATTGGCACTGTGCTATGTTGATGGTCAATTGTGCGAGGTCCACGCAAGTGACGAGCCCGAGGAGGGCGGCGTTTCACTTTCCTCTTTTGCCACCTCTGCCGGCTTTGCCTCCCCGTGCTCTCTTGCTGGGTGTCCCTCTCTGTAAGCTGTCATCTTCATCCTCGTCTGCATCTCGCTTGACGGCCTTCTTGTCATCCGTGGCGCCCTCCGCGCCCAGATCCCCGGCGTTCCCGGCCTCCGCGATGCAGCTGGGGCAGTGCCACTCGCCCTCGGGCACGGAGCTCAAAGGCGGAGAAAGACACTTGAGGTGCCATGGGTTCTCGCATTTTTCGCATTCCAGTAACACGTCTTCGCTCCCTTGCGCCGACTCTTCTCTCGAGCATTTCAGACAGTGGTCAGAGGACGGCACGACTTCTGGAAATCTCGGCAGCTCGGAGTACTTTTCTCCTTGATTACGGGCGATGTCTGGGTGGGCGCGAAGCAGAAGGACACGCGTGAACAAGGAAGAATGGAGCGAAATGTAGGGCAGACGACTCACAGTACGTGGTATTTTGGCCTGCAGCAATGTCCAAGATAGAAACCTTGTCTAGCGGCTCACATCTGATCGGTTTTGTAGCGCTGCGGGGCTTCTCCGAACCCAGGCCGAGTTCTCCATTAGCAGCATTTTGTCCCCACACTACATTCATCGTGGCATCGCAGTCTGCGCGCATCGCAGCGTCAGGCTCATATGCGGTGACAAGTAGTGTGACACCTCCAAGAGCAACGTTGAGACAATGTACACCCATGAGCTCGTGAAAGTATTTGTAAGTCATGTAGCCTTGACCTGCACCACCTTCGCCCGAAGTCTTCCACTGAAAGGGTGTAGGGTGCGATTTGAGCGATGCATTGCGAATGTCGTGAATGCTGGACAGTGTACGCTCGCCAGACTCACCTTGCCAGCGAGATAGTACATGTGTTGCCTATCGAGGATCGCACTGCACGATGGTCCTGCATAGATCGCTTTGGCTCGCAGTACCGCATTGTCCCTGGCGAATTGTGGCACCAAGGTTGGTGACAATTGATCGGCCTGCATGCCTAAACCAAGCCTTCCATAGCCGCCGAAGCCCCACACGTAGACGTAGCCGTCCGCATCGAGGCTGGGGATAGCTTCGAGTAAGATGGTATGTATGAAGTGCAAGGGAGAACAGCGCAAGACTCACGCTACGGAGTGCTGCTGCCCGCATTGGACATCGACGATCTTCTTGTCTGCGAGCACTCCTCTGACAGGGACTGATCTCGGAACGCAGTTAATATTCTCTGGCATCAGCTTTCGAACGATTCGATGCGTGAAGCGGAGGCAGTGAACTCACGCGGATCGGTAAAGGTCTGAAAAGCCAGTTTGTTGCCCGATATGAAATGCTCTCCTGTTCTGCCGTTGCCCAGCTGCCCTTTCTCGGTGGAGCCGAGTGCGTAGACTGGAGTCGCAAGCAGGAAGGAGGGAGGCGATGAGTGCCGACAACACGAGGGACCTGCCGATCACCCAGCCTCACCTTTTCCAGACTCTGTGAGGAGGATTGAAAAGGTAAGGCCTGCTGAGGCTCTGACCAGCGGATCCTTTTCCTTCTCATACTGGCCACCAGTCACGCGTTTGAAGCCATTCACATCCCCAATCGCGTGGCCACACTGGCCCATCGCATTGCCGCCAGCAGAGTACAGGGTGCCGGCTCGAGTGACGATGAGGGAATGATTCCTGCCAGTGGCTGCCCAAACAATGTCACCCTGAGCTCCGGCTGGCAATGAAGGAGCGAAATGCTTGCTTCGATCCAGTCGGGTGGGCGCATCGATGCTGACTGTAGAGCTCGGCAGGCCGCATTGACCCTTTTCGTTCCGCCCAATCACCCAGACATCGCCCGAGACCGACAGGAAGAATGCGTGGCAGGAAGAGTGCGAGGAAAAGACCCGCTTCATGCGAATGTTTGAGACGGCCCGCAAGATGTGTGGCGCACTGAGGTCAGGTCTGACGATGATCATTTTAAGGGGGGTTGGTCTGTCAGCCTGGACCCTCACGAGCTACATGCGACTGCAAGCGCTTCACCTCTCATCCGTAGGCTTAAGCCCCTTTCTGCCCAGATTTGGCCAATCGGTCCCGCCAGCGATGAGCACTGCAAGGACCATCGAATGGTGAGCAGCAGGATCTTGAGCAAGCATATCGAGGCACAACACTCACCTCTACCCCAAAATGGCGGCTCTTTGACTTCTGATTGAGAGGCCATGATCGCGACGAAGGGTCTCACACTTCAAGAGAGGAGGTGCTCGGCTTGATCAGCTTTGGGCTACCCAGTCTGGATGGCAGCAAATTGAATCACGAATGACCTGCAATCGCGTCGCCTCGCTCCGAGAGCAACGGTGTGCCGTGCCGTACGCGTGCGGGCGATGATTACGTATATTGGGACGTCGGGATTCGCTGCCTGGTCCGATTCGGTTAGACGGCTTGCTAAAGTCGCGTAATTGCGTGTATGCTGTATATAGCGAGATGTGTTGAGATGCTCCGCATTTGACCGGAGAGTTCTGTCCGCACGCGACACCTCTGATATTCGCCGTTTGACGCTTTCGACGTGACGGAGCAGTTCAAGGTGGGGCGCGCTTCTGAAGCAAAGGACGCGTGACGCGTTGAGCGCGCCGCCAAACCACGTGTCGAGGTCAGGGAAGATGTCGTCTCGTCAGAATCATCTCGAGTCTGTTTAGCCCTATGCGGAGTCTCGGGTCCGCCCATGCTGCGTGCCCTTCGGCATGGTCGAGGCTGCAGGAGATGCCGAGGCGCGTTGAAGAGGGACACATGCATCACTGTACAACAAGAGTGCGCTCGCGATGCAGCAGCCGCGCTATAATGCGAACCTGCAGCAGCATCAGAAGCTCGACATGATGAGCGAAAAGAGGGGGGAATCGCTGTCGAGGTTTGCGTGGGAGATGGACCTGCCGCCGGTGCTGCTGCATGCCGATTAGGCGAAGCTGAGACCCCACTTGATCACGCAGACTGCTGGATTCACGACTGTGTTTTTGCTAAACTCGGATGATACAGAGATCTCAGCGGCAAGTTCGGCATTGTCTGCATCCGCCATGCAGCAGGTCCCTCCAGCGACCTTTCGCCACATCGTACGACACGCCTCCCCTCCACCTCCTCGGCGCTGAACGTTGCAGTCAAGAGTAGCCTAGCCTATCCACGCACTATGTGCCGGCGGCATCGCGGAAATCCTCATGACGACGCTTCGGCACATCGGTCGAGCAGTGTCAGGGAAACCAGCCAGCCGATTGAGCCGCTTGACCGACAGGAGGCCTGACCCCGTGTTCTCGACGCCCTGCGTCAGTGAGTCATCTGTGCTGGAAATCTTGCATCCTTGATTCGATTCGGTTTCACTGTGTGCGCGCCCACACGCCGACAAGGCCGACGTTTCCTTTGCGCCGTCGGATCGCGCATCCATTTGATTTGGGTAAGGGTGGGTGGTAGCTGTAAGGCTGCGATCGTGAATGAAAGGAAGCAGTAGAGCCAACGAAGAAGATGACGACGCACCCAAAGCTCGGAATTGTGCTGATCTGGCTCAAGCCTCGGTATTTGCGGCGCAGCGAAAGTCACCGTCTCGAGATGTCAGTCAATCCGGGCTCAGGGTTGGATCGCGTGGTTTGCAAAAAGGAAGTGCAGCTCGCGCAAACGGTACAGCGTGGCAGCCTGCCGTCGCCTGAGTTGCCCAGGATGATATATTTGATTTCGTGGGAGGGCGACGATACCCAACTCGGTCGACACACATCCCTCGCAATCCTCTCTCTCACTAATCACCACCATCCACACCACAACCTGTCTCGTATTCACGACTAACGACTCGACGCTCGTTGCGTACACATCCTATCAGTTCTCAGCACAACGCTTCTCCTGATTTCAGTACACACACTTCAACTGTCATTGCCACGATGCGTGCCGTCGCGATTGTAGGCGCAGCCTTGGCGCTTGCTGTTGTTGGCTCCGAAGCCAGGATTGGCATGGGTGTCTCGCCGCGTTTGGGCAAGCGATCCAAAGCAGGCGTCCCGTTGGACTTGTACGAACGTCACGCCGCTGGACACGATGTCGGCGGGGCTCGCATGACCCCAGTGGCTCGTCGCTCCCCAGCACCCGCCGCTCCTACCAACGAAGCACAGGAGGCTCAGATCAAGAGCGAGACGGAGGCATGCACACCCTACTCCATTCCCGGTGAGTCCGTGTGCTCAATGCAAAGTACTTCTACTCGGCTGACATTCTTTACACTATCAATCGCTTGACGCAGAGGTCGTCAACATCAAGGGTCAATTTCCCACCATCTGGCAGACCGCCGACATCGTTCCCGGTGATTCCGCTGCTCAGAGCGTCTGGCAGAACATCCAGAGTCAGAACATCATCCCGGCGGATATCAAGCCGAAGGGGACCCGTGAGTAGACGCGAAAGTCCACTGCCTTCCATCGCCGTGACTGATTTTCTCCAAGCACGATTTCACAGCCAACGGCGACTTCTCCAGCTTCACACCGACTTACGATCACTCGGACCCCGACTGCTGGTGGACTTTCGACAACTGCGTGAAGCCCAAGCACCCCAAAATTCCTGCCGACGTATACCAATGCCCTGAGCCTTCCACTTGGGGCTTAACTTTTGATGACGGACCCAACTGCACTCAAGAAGTACTGTACGACTTTCTGCAGCAACAAAATCAAAAGGCGACCATGTTTTACATCGGCTCCAACGTTCTTGACTGGCCGCTTCAAGCCCAGCGCGGTTTAGTCGACGGTCACCAGATCTGCGTCCACACATGGTCGCACCAATACATGACCGCTCTGTCCGACAGCCAGGTGTTCTCCGAGCTGTACTACACTGCCAAGGCCATCAAGGATGTTGTCGGTGTCACTCCTCGCTGCTGGAGGCCTCCTTACGGTGACACGGACGATCGCGTTCGTGCCATTGCAACCGGTCTCGGTCTTAGCACCGTGATCTGGACCGACGACACGGACGATTGGAAGGCTATCCCAGCAGGTACCTTGCCCAAAGCTAGCATCGACGCCAACTACGCATCCATCATAAACAAGGAGTCAGACTCTACAGGTAACATCGTCCTTACTCACGAGCTCAACAACGGCACTATGTCAGAAATGATCGAGCAATACCCGCAGATCAAACAAAAGTTCAAGCACATCGTCCCCATCACTGCTTGCATGAACGAGACGAACCCTTATCCAGAGAGCATCACCTATCCCAACTTTGCTTCTTACATTTCGGGCGACATTGAGCCAAAGGGCATTCCCTCGGGCACTGACATCAAGGTTCAGGCTGCCTCGTACGACCCTCTGGCCGCTGCGAGCGCCACCGCCGCCGCCGGTGACGCTACTGGCGGTAGCACGTCTAGCAGTGACAAGCAAGCTAGTGCTCAAGGTCAAAAGAGCACTGGTAGCGGCAAGAGCGCCGCTTCGTCCAACAGAGCAGGCAAGGCCATCGTCGCCGTCAGCGCTCTCGGTGCTGTTAGCGCATTCATGCTTCTCTAAGCGTGTTCTGAAACGAGCATCCCCGTTCGAAGATGCACCCGAGATACAGCTGTGCTGTCGTCTCGCAAGACTTCGAGAACTCTTTCCACGCACGCCCCTCATATCTGCGCGCGTTGATCGTTATTCCTTGCAACTTCTCGTGCCTCTGCTGGGCCATGCACGACTTTGTGCGCTCAAACTGCTTGTAAATGACCGCACTTGGACAATGAATTTGACACGCCCTCGCACTCGTGCTATCTGACATTCTTTGTGAGGCCGCATCTCTGCCACTTGGGAGCTGAAATGTAGGCGTCTCTGTTGTTATGGCGCGCTTCTCGCAGTTGCACCATGGATGAGCGTGTCGAGCGTGGGTGAGCGGTGCGCCGAGTGGCTTCACTGTATAGACATGATCGGTGGGAAAGTGACGATCCGCAATCGACTCAAGACTGTCTAGACGTCGATAGCATCGCTCTAGATTTGTCTGCTGAAGACAGAGGCCCAAAGAAAAGGGACTCAAACAGTCGAAAGTCTTCGGATAAGAGTCGGGAGTTGTGAGTCCAAGAATGGGTGCGGTTTTTAAAGCGTACACGTGTCAAGGATTCGCGGTGTCCAGACGCGTATCGCGCGAGACAGCAAGTCACGCGAATCACGAGTGCGAGGAGCGAAGCAGGCGTGAGTGACGTGGAGCACCGGCTGCCATCCATGCACGAAGGTGCTGATGCGTGACTTGGCTTCTTCTACGCACGGTTGCACGCCCTTGAAAACATTGTGATTCACGAGTTGCTCGGCGATCGACGTTAGCTCTGATCAGCATCAATCACTCACGTCTGAATCGTGAATGTCATGGCTCCGCCTCAAGATTAGACAGCTCAGCCTCTCTCCAAACAACATCTAGCATCTCGCTGCCCCAAGTGCTCCACCGACTCACCCTGATCTGCACGACCTCATCCGCACAAGTCGGTCCAGCAAGCTCAGCATGGCCGTCATGACAACTCGGCGGACTGGCAGACCGCCGTTCGTGGCCATGGTGCTGACTCTGGCTTTGAGCTGCGCTTACATGCTGAGTCACTTTTCCGTCGCTGCCATGGGTGTGGTGGGCATCGACTACGGCACAGAGTCCATCAAGATCAGTTTGGTCAAGCCCGGCGTTCCGTTCGACGTTGTCCTTAGTCGAGACAGCAAGCGAAAGCTTCCTGCAGCTGTCGCTTGGAAGAAGCAAGAACGACTTTTCGGAACAGACGCTTCAAATTTGGCCACCAGATTTCCAGGCGACACTTTCATCAACGCTAAGCTCTTGCTTGGTCGGACCTTTGATGATGCCGACGTGAATGCGCGCGCCAAATATCAAAGCTTGTTGGGCACCAATTTGATTCCGACCACACGTGATACTTGTGCTGTCCAGCGAGCCACCGACTACACCAACGATGCTAGTGGTCCCGATACGTACGCGGTAGAGGAGCTGGTGGCGGCACAATTCAGCCACGCGCGAGAGTTGGCCGAGGAGGCAGCTGGAGAGGAGTTCAGGAGAAGCTACCCAGGCACTGTCGGAAGCTTTGGCGGGCTAGATGTCGTCATCACCGTGCCAGTCTACTGGACAGCAGCCGAACGTCACGCCATCGTCGACGCTGCGAGAATTGCAGGCTTTGAGCCTCGGCTCGTGAGCGATGGTGCTGCTGGTGAGTGCTGATCAGTTCTCGCGCAAGCCATGTTGCTCTTGCGCTAAGTCATTCTGGTCATTCCCCAGTCGGCGTGAACTATGCGCAGACACGCACCTTTCCCAAGAGCGAAAAGCACTTGTTTTACGACGCTGGAGCTGGATCTGCTCGTGCAACGATCGTGGAGTTCAGCACTAGACTCGTGCAAGCCGACAGTATCCTGTCCATCGGTAGCACACAGAAGGAGGCTGTCATTGTCGACGTCTTGTCCGCTGGTTGGGACCGCCAAGCATCTGGTGTTGCGGTCGACACACTCATTCGAGATGCGCTTGCTGACAAATTCGAGCAGACGCATGGCAATCGCCTCGAGAAGCCCCTGCGCTCCCAACCCAGGGCACTGGCTCGGCTTTTGAAGGAAGCCAATCGGGTCAAGCATGTGCTGAGCGCCAATGTAGAGGCCAGCGTCAACGTCGAAGGTTTGGCAGAGGAGATTGACTTCAGAAGCAAGTTCAGCAGAGAGGAGCTTGAGGGGTTGGTTGAAGCTGCAGGCTTGACACACCTCTTCGCCAGTCCTGTGCAAGACGCTCTCAAGTCCGCAAAGCTCAAAATCGTAAGTCTCAATGCTCTTCACAGCTGATGCAGTCTAGACAACTCAATCCTTGTCGGCCTCCCACCACAGAGCGACTTGGAAAGCATCGTCTTGGTAGGCGGAATGTCGCGAGTACCTTTCGTACAGGCC